ATGAACATACTTGAGTATAGAGTTTAATTTATGTTTCAAAATTGCTTAGCTCAAACATCAAAAAAAGTTGTCTACGGTCTTGTATAAATGTACATATATACAAAAATACATATATACTTATGTATATATGTATATACATATATATATAAATATAAATATAAATTTATATATATATATATATATATATATATATATATATATATATTTATATATATATATATATATATATATATATATATGTATGTATATGTTAATATACATATATATATATATATTATATATATTATAAAAATATATATTTATATATATATATATATTATATATATATATATATATATATATATATATATATATATAAAATATATATATATATATATATATATATATATATATATAAATATATATATATATATATATATATATATATATATATATATATATATATATATATATATATATATATTATATATATATATATATATATATATATATATATATATATATGTATATATATATATATATATATATATATATATATATATATATATATATATATATATATATATATATATATATATATATATATATATATATATATATACAGGGGCGGATCTAGGATTTATTTTTCCTTTGGCGATTTTTTTTTAATATTAGCGCCCCCCACCCCCATTTTTTTTTTGTTTTTATTAAGGTGCTCTAAGATGTCCTAATGGCCTTGTCACAGAGCACCGCCACAAAGACAATAACATTTGTAACTTGGCTCTCCGTTTCCAACCTTACCGATAACCTTTACGTGCTTCAAGTAGAGATCGAACTCGCAACCCTTAGATTACGAATCCAATGCTCTAACTACTGAGCCACGATTGATATAACACAATCCATCCCAGACAGTGGTACTCTCTAATACCAAATAAGCCTCCCTTCCCCATTTACTATTTGTCAACTCTATACTAACTCGGATTTATATTTTCAAAAGGTTTTTATTTGACACCAGGGGGGCTCCCCCTATGTATTCACCCCATTTGCACTATTTGAATTATTTTTTTGTGATTAAGACTCGGTGTTTGCAGCCTTTTATAAAAATAAGAACGCATTTTCAAAAACAAAAAAAAAATTTAATGCTAAACTGGTTAAGACAATATAAGTCTAAAATTCAAGCAAAAATTAACTTAAAATCGCTCCCTCTTAAACTATTGTTTTTTTTATTGTTTTTGGATTTTTTTTTATAAATATAAACTTGATTCTGGTCATTATCTTTTACATGAAACATATGCAAAATTTAATAAAAAATTATACCTATACTAGCTATTCCTAATATGGTTTATGTACTCGATGTCAACTAAAAATAAAAAAAGGAATTTGGAAATTCAAAATTAATCTGAATATTCTTGGTGATGTTCAGATTAATCTGCATCAGCTTAATCAGCCAAATATATCACAATCTGTATCGGCAACTAGCACCAGCCCTTTTTATTGATTTGCTAATTTTTATTAGCCAATTCGAAGAGTACAAACCATTGAAAACAAATAGTAGATTAACTATGATTTTATTAATACATTTAAAAAAATTTGATTTATTAAGTAATAAATAAATTCAGACAAAAAAAAAAAAAATCTAAAGAAATCAAATTTCTGACCATTTATCTCTCACAGTACAACGGGTGAGAATGTATCTGTCTGGAAGGTATTTGTTTAAAGCACATGAACCACGTCAAGGTTCCTTCCTATTCATGTGTACGATTTTTTATGCAGAACGACTGAAGGTGTATGACAGAAAAATACACAATCAATTAGCAAACTGCTTTTCCTTGCACATTTTCATTCATTGATTAACAGGAAACTTAATCATAAAAGATAAAGAGTATTATGACAATAAAATAAAGTAGTTTTTAAACATTCATAAAGTTTTTAAAAAATATTTCATGATTTGAAATTACACTTTAAATGTTGATAAAGTCCTCCTAGTGATTGAGTAAAGATAAAAACTGTTCTGTAATTAAGGATTAAGAAAAATTCCAGTTGTTAAAAATCACTTAAAAATTTACACAAACCGTCTAAATCACAAGCCTGAAATTGTAGTTGCAATTTTGAACAACAAAAAATAAAAATGTGCTAGTTATTTAGTAATATTGTTCAGGAGAGTTCCTTGAACAATTATACTAATAATAACAATATAACAATTTTAACAATATAACAATTTTAACAATATAACAACTTTAACAATATAACAATTTTAACAATATAAAAATTTTACCAATAAAACAATTTTAACAATATAACAATTTTTTCTAAAACAAAAATCCCCTCAGAAAGTAAACTGCTAATTTTGGATTTTAAGGTTGAAAAATATATTTATGGCCAAATGTATTTTTAGGCAATAAAATATATGTTTTTATCCTACA